CACGCTTCAGCTCAGACTGTTACTAAATTCACGATTTCATAAAAAATTGTTTTATTTTGAAAATCCTGTTGGCTGTAATTCTCACTCTTGTTGCTTCCTCTTTGTTTTTTCTCTCGTTATGTGGCGTTTGTCTCGTGCTGCGAGTGGGTTGTTTGATTGGACGGTTAGCTAGTGTCGCGAGCAGAAGGAGAGACGCATCGAGGCGTCGGGAGTTCAGTGGAAAGTCCGCGGGGGAGTCGGGAAGGACTCCGTGAAAACACAAAGTTTAAAGCTGTGTGCGTCTTCCTCTTTTGCTCTGCAGGTAAATCGGACACTTACGAGCGGTGCGTGTCAGAGGCGGAGCTCCTGCTGGACCAGTCGATGCGTCTGGAGCAGGCAGGCGAGGTCGCCGCCGCGCTGTCAGCTGTCAATGAAGCTGTCTGTAAGCTCCTCCCACTGCCACTAACCACACTCTCTCCACTTTGAACGCAGCCAGGCAGAAACCTGACGGCCGACTTACACACACACGAACGCGAGAAGCTGAATCGAGCTTTAAACGATCCGCTCACCCAAACAAACATCGGGATGGTTTTTGATGACATCATTACTGCGTCTGTATTCGCCGCTGTTTGCTTCACGTGTGTCAGTCAGATGTGAACCATGAGGGTCTGTAAATATCACAGTGTTAACTCAGCTCAGGGTTCGAGTCGCTTCATCAGATTTGGCTCATTCTGTAGTGGGACAAAGTGAAGACTGTCCTCATTAAAAATAGACAGGAAATGTCCTCAGTGTGACCCCGCCCCCTGCAGATCCTCTTATGTCCAGCAGAGGCAGCAGTGAGTCTGTCCCCATAAACTCCCATGTTAAACGATAGAGCAGGAATATTCATACTTACAGCCTGATACTAACGGTTTCCCTTCAGAACGCCTGTTTTAAACTTCTGTTAGAGAATAAAGATGAGAGGAAGTAGAAGAAGAAGAGTGTCACTGTATGCAGATGACACAGTGCTGTAAACGGGAGACGTTGAGGGGTCAGAGGTGGACGGGGTCACAGTTCGACTTCATTTCTGTCAGTAATCTGGAACTCCAAATGGTCCCTCTGTCTTCTGTTGGAAAGAAGTTTAATTCTGAAAGTCATCCATTTATCGAACAGACCATCATCACAGCACGTCAGTTTTTCCTCGCCACAGAGAAAAGCAGCTGGAGTGAATCTAAGAAGCCGTGAGCTCTGCTCCTCTAAACACCTGCAAACATCCCAGAAAAGCACAGAAAGGCTGCATCACACAGCAGCCTCTGTTATTTACTGGTTCATGTGTGACTTCCTGCGCTGTGAGGTCACACGTGAACGTGCGGTTCAGCGCCGTCACCCGTAGATGATCAAGCGTGTCGGAGGCGTCCTCGAAGCTGACAGCCGGGTTGTTTTTCTTTGGTTGTGATTCTCTTACTTTAACCTTCTGTCTGGACTTGATTTCTCCATTTCATCATTAATAACCACGCCACCTTCATGTCAGCAGTGCGATGTTTGATTTCCTGTCAGCTGTGAGTTTTCTTTGTCAGATTGTTTTGCATGAAATCATCATAACGAGTTCTTTTCTGCATCTTTGGTTCATTTTTTATTCTTTTCTCTCTTTCTGTTTTCTTTTCATTTTCCTTCTGTTGTGGATTTTCTGTTGAATCGTGACCCGGCTGCAGCCAAACTGCGGCCGGTGGTGGCTGAGGGTGGAGCTAGTAGTCACAGCCGGCTGCAGCGCTGCATGAGGAGAGCCCGCAGCCTGCAGCAGCGCATGCAACTGCTGCAGCAACAACAGCAGGACTCAGAGGCAGGCAGAGAGAAACCACCGCAGCAGCAGGAGGAGCAGCAGCTCCAGGAACAGCACAGGTACCGCTGCAGCCTGATCAGCCAATCAGAACGCACCAGCAGGTGGCGCCCTGTTACCTTCTGTGTATTAAACCTTGTTATTCCTGATGTGTGAACAGAACCTGTGGAGGTTGGAGGTGTAAATCCTCAGCTGAGCTCAAAACTCCTGACATCTTACCTCCTCATGGGCTGATGTAAGAACCTGACGAGAGCTTCAACCAGAGCAAAAATAAATTCAGAATAAATCGGGCAGTAATTATTAGTCTCGTGCAGTAAACTCACACATGTGGTTCTAACGCGATGATGTGGCGTTATTTTTGTGCCACTAATCTGAGCACACGTAAGAAAAATTTGCAAGTTTTGCATTTTGAGGAGAAATTTGTTTTGAGCGAAGAAAAGCTAAATCTGAGCAAACAAAACTCATCGCTGCGTGCAAAAACTGTGTTTCAGTGTTTGCTATTATCCACACACACACAACAGCAGCCCCTCTCGCTCAGTTTTTGCATGTGTTGCTCGCGCTCTCAACATTTCTGCCCGTGTGCGCTCCGCTCTTTCTCTACACCGTTATATTTGTGCCACAAAACCAGCCAATCACAGACTTGGATGCAAAAAATTCTGATTGGCTGTTTTGGTCTCCAATCAGCTTGTTAGCTGCTGTAGCTAAACCCAGGCAAATATCCCAGAATGCATTTCATCCAAAACACAGAGTGGCCGAGTTTGAAATATTACTCTGTCTGGGTCACAAAATAAACGTTTAAGATATTTTCAGGTGAGGATGTTGCTGTGTGAACTTCAAATATCTGCTCGATTCATCAAGACGTCACATATTTGCAAAAGTGCTCTGATGTTTCCAGAGATGCCTGTTACCCACCAGCTGACCGGGTGGTCAAGGCGTGGCCCCAGGTATTACATGAAAAACCATAAAGCCTTTGAACGAAAGCAAAGCTGCTGTGACAGTGACGTACACTGTTGTATATATGTATGATTTGTATCACCTTCATGTTTCCAAACCGACATCATGACCAGCAGCTTTACAGCTGTGGCTCCAGCAAACATCAGCTGATACTAGAAATTAATATTAACTAAATTCTAACAACAGCTGATCAAGCTTAAACGTGCTGCTGTTGTTTAGCGCAACATCCGCTGGTTTCTTCTTTCTGGCACAAAGTGGGCGATAAACAAACAAGAGAGAAAAGCTGATCAGCTGATCAGCTGATCAGTTTCATGATTGAAGTAGAAACAGGAGAGGGAGGGGGGAGAATGAGAGAAGAAGAAACAGCTGTGCAGCAAAGACACAGAATAACTGCAGCTTTGTGTCTTTTTCATTGTAGCTGAAGTCCGGGACAAATCGCTTCCCTTTTCACCTCAACATGGATGTATTGTAATTGGTCCAGCCCAGTGTTGATCATGACCAATTGGCTAATTCACCACCATCATCGTTTATACCGTTAGATAATGAAAGTGCCAAATGCCCGGCATGCCCAATGGCCAGTCCAGCTGTGCGGTCAGCTGGTGGCTAACAGACGTCTCTGAAAACGTCAGAGCACTTTTGCAAATATGTGACGTCTTGATAAATGGAGCAGATATTTGAAGTTTACACAGAGCTCTGGCGTAAAGCCAGTCATTAACACACCCCTCTCTCCCCCCCGCCTTTCTATCCTATCCCCCCCAAAGTGAAAAGCCTCTCTCGGGCCGAATACTTCTGACAGAGATGCACAGCAGCCAATCAGCCTCCTCTCTGGACCAGCAGACGCCGCCTCCCTCCACCTGCCTCATTAGGTCGCTGCCTCCCCAGTCAACCTTGGTGTTTGACCCCGCCCCTTCAGGTTCACCTCGGGAGGACAGGAAGACCCTCTGTAGCGTCGGCTCCCTCCCTGCTCTCTGTGTGGATGCCCCTGTGGAAGACTTGGCTCCACCCCCTCCGCTTGAAGAGGAGGAGCTTTCAGTGCAGTGGACCATAACATCTCCTGCCCCAGTGCCTCCAGTACAAGCCCCGCCCCCACCCCGGCTGCATCCCCAAATCCTGTCACCTGTTGAGACGTTGAAACCGTCTTACACCCGGCAGCCTCAGGCCACACCCCCAGACTCCAGCCACATACTGTCCCCGCCCCCTGCCCCTCATGCAACCAGGAACTGGTCGTGCTTATACCTAGACCAAGACGTCATCGACTCTCCCAGTCTACCAATCAGCTCGCACCTGTACTCACCGCCAGACTCCCCCGCCAACATTCCCCCAGTGAGCCGCCCGGACCTGCCCGTTTCCCCGCCCACAGTGGCGCTGCCCGTGGAACGCTGGGCTGAAAACGTCAACAGATACTACGGCTCCCAGAGCACTGGGGGAGGGGGACTGGTGGCGGCGGCGCTGGTGACGCCCGGCGAGGAGCTGTCAGAGCTGGAATCGCTGTACCAGGCCAGTCTGCTGGCTCCCAGCATGCACCGGGGCAGCCGGGGAGTCAGCCCCCAGCCGAGCGGCAGCAAACCAGGTAGGAGCCTCTGCTGGACGTCAGTGGAACTGCAGCGTTTGGTGCCTCAGAGGTTGAAGCTGGACATTTATTAATAGTTCCAACCAATCAGGAGCCTTCGCTCAGCTGACCTGTTCATGCCGTCATAAACGTGAACTGATGGCGCTGCAAACACGAGTTAATAAAACAAGTTCAGATTGTTCCAGCAGAAGCGACGCCTGCTCCGAGCGGACGCCTGCTCCGTGTTTACCCACAATGCACTTTAAGTTTCCTGCAGTGAGTGAAACTGATCAAACGTGAGGCACCAACACTGGTCTCAGCTCCTCTACGTCACAGACATGAAGCTGCTGATAGCAGGCACCATCCTGCCCGTGTGACTGTGAGCTATAAATGATGTTCATAGTGTGTGTGTGTGTGTGTGTGTGTGTGTGTGCGCGTGTGCGTGCAGGCGTGAGGAGGAGGCAATTGGGTCCCGGACGCTCAAAAACGCCGACAGCTGAGATCGAGAGAGACGCCTACAGGACCCCAATAGCAGGCCTGCAGAAGGTGTGCACACCTGTGCGTTCAGCCGATGACGGCGTTCACGTTGTTTGTGCGACCTTGTTAAAAAAACTGAACTCTCCTGTTTGACCTGCAGCCGCCGTCAGCTGAAGACGAGAGCTACAGCGCCGAAAACCTGCGACGCATCGCCCGCAGCCTCAGTGGGACCGTCATCGGGTTGCGACCCCAAAACCTCGCCCCCTCCCACAGCTGTGTAAGAGAGAAACACACACACACCAGCTCGTTCAACTATCTTAGTGAGGACCTTCATTGACATAATGGTTTCCCTAGCCCGGACCTGACCATGACCTAATTGTAACCCTGACACTAAAACCACATTTTGAGCCTCAGAAAGGCTTCAAACTTGTGAGGACACACCGGTTCTCACAAGTGTAGTAGAATGCAGATTTCGGTCCTCACAAAGATAGTTAGACAGGAACACACAGAGGCACTAGCAGCTTCCTTCTGCCACCTTGTGGTCGCACCTTGTAACTGCAGCCTGGAGCTCAGCTTTGGTGCAGAGCAGGGAAACCTCTTTATTCCGTCCATGTCACAGAAAAATGAGGCATCTTTAAAAATCAGTGAACCTGTCCAGGTGAACTCGAGTCACACCCATCGAGTGACGCTGTCACATTTTAGCCTGTGACCTCATAAACACGTTACCACTCATGAGGATGGAGAATATTTAACTGGAACTGTGTCTGAGCAGCAGCTTCCTGTGTTTCTGCACGCTTCGCTCTGCTCTCGGCGCCGCTGGCGTTCAGCCATCTCGTATTCAGGCCTCAGGAATCGCCTCAGGCCGCCGCATTAAACATTGATGGGCAGTTTAGTTCTCCCATTAAGCTTCTAACCTCAGAGCCCGACAGCTGAGCGGCGCTCGGAGTCAGATCCTCACCGCGTTCCCTCGGCCCGAGGGTTTGATTCCTAAATCTGTTACAATGTGAGGGGAGAACTGAGTCATTCAGCAGCGTGCACGCAGACACGATCATGGTGTCACCCCCAGACTTGCATCTCAAAGATGCAAGCCCCTCCCCCATGTTTGTTGTTTTTTTTTAATCTTTTTGCTCTTGTTTCATGTGTTTTTTTCTTCATCACGTTAACATGTTTTCATTTTTCCCCCTCCCTTTGTTTTCTCACTGACGCCTCCACCTTCACTCCTCCTCCTCCTGAAGGACCCCTCTGTGTCCAGACCCCCCCTCAGACATTCTTCCTCCTCCTCTTCCCTCCTGCGTCGTTCCAGCTCCTCTACCCTGCATCACCCCTCCTCTCCCTCCTTCACTGCAGACCACTCCCACCACCACCAGCCCCGACTCCACGGCCCCTCTCCTCCTGCACAGCACCCCCCCACGCAGACATCACAGCCCCCCAGCTCCAGGCCCTCATCCTGGGGACACTCAGGTAACGTGCCGGCCCTTCACCTCCATCTTCAGAGCAGCTGGCCGGGCATGCTGGGAAATGCAGTTCAACAAATGCTGAAGTCAGATTCTCTCTGTAGTTCAGACAGTTTAGTTTGATTAAACGCTCCCAGCGTTCCCATGGCAACCTGCTCACAGGTGAAAACCTGGAAATGATCAAAGTGACAGGATTCCTTTGCAGTCATGTGACCCTGCTGCCGTGCTGTACATGTGAACCCGTCACGCCTACAGTGCTGTGCATAAGTCTTGAGTCACCGTTTGTAGGAAAAAGTGAAACGTGTGCAGAGTTACTGAAACATGATGGAGGCGGGCTGTTTGGTGTGAGCCCCGCCTCATTTCTGCCGGTCGTCTTCAGGACTTTTGCACAGCGCTGAGGGTGTGGCAGAAAGCGTGAACGCCGCCTGACGTGTCCTCTTCCTCTTCCTCAGGAGCTGGTGCGAGCATCCAGCAGCACGTTCTGGTTGTGCCTGACCGGCGTCAGACTCTTTCAGCTCACGGCGTCCCGCTGAGTTACGGCACACTGCCTCGAGCTCCTCGCCGAGCCCCACCTCCCTCCACCTCCTCCCTCCCCAGGCCCAGAGCTGGCACCGGCCCCGCCTCCCCTCTGGGACAACAGAGCCTCTACGCCACCATGCTCCGCCCTCGTCGTTCCGCCGCCAGCGCCAACGGCCACTACGGGCACCCCTCATTGGGCTACGCCCCCCACCACCTCAGAGCGTCAGATGGCCCTGCCCACCCACTCCGCCTGGACATCCCCCCAGACGGCGACTGGCGACGCGATACCAACTCCAGGACAGTCCAGCCCAGCTCCTCCTGGGACGCCCGCCTCGCTCGCCACCCGCAGCCTCCTCGGCCCCCCCAGCTCTGCTCGCTCTGCCAGCAGCTTCCTGCCGAGCCGGCGCGCTCCTGTTGCTCCTCGTGCGGTGCCTACGTGGCTCGGTTCCGGCCAACCAGCTGATCGGACCACAGCGAGAGTTTTACTGCAAATGTGGCTCGCTGACATCGTGAAGGAGCTCAAACGCTGTGTGCGGCGTGATGATGTCACTTTGGAGGAAAACTCTTGGATTGGCTCTGCAGTGTCGCCCTCTCATCCTCACTTCTTCATCACGGATCTCCTGCTGCTCCGCTCGGCGAGCCGAGCTCACACACACCAACACGTCTCTGACATCACGAAGCTCCGAGAGGCGACCTGCTGTCTGCTCGGCCCTGAACTCTGATTGGACAGAAGCAAAGAGCGGCTTGGTTTGAGAGCTGAAGCACGCTCGAGGTCCTGATCTTAGAGAAGTGTTTGATAATTTCTGTAAAGCTCAAATTCAGACGCGCTGCTTGTAAACTTAAACGCTAACAAACGGTTGCGATGCCTGGCGTGGGTTCACCTGCTATCGCGTGAGCCCCCCCTGGTGGACGCCAGCGTTATAACACCACTCTGCTCCTGACCGTCCCCAACGAGCCGGCGCAGTTTGCATTAACCTCAGCATCTTTTGTTTTTTTTGTTTCAGTCTGTTAGGAGGTTTTAACTGAAAAGCTGTCAAATATACGGTCCGGGGGCCAGAACCGGCCCGCAAAAGCAGGGCGCTCTGGTCCACCTGTATATAAACAATGAGGGCTTCAGCTCGTTCAGTGACGGGTGGATGCTGGCTCACGGGTGGAGGACTTTCTTCTGTTGGTCCAGTTGATCAACTTTGATTGGAGCATCAGGAGTTGTTTGCGGGTCGTGGCGCTGACGCGTGGAAGCGCGTCCTCCTGGTGATTTTTGTAGTTGTGTGTAGGTGAACTAACCTGAGCGTGCTCACCTGTCGCAGCCCGGCCGGCTCATTTCTCTTCTCTAGATTATTGTAGAAGAATAACCGCAGCTTTGTTTGAGCAGCTAATATTTAGCATGTCTTCAGCTCACCTGTCGCAGGTGTTCGTGTGCTGCCGTGATGACGTTTGTTAGCGCGGTAGCTTGACCGCTTTTAGCGCACTTCACAAGTGTTACGATAGACGTTTCTTTCGCTCGTTGCCAATTTCTTTCGACATCCCTCCCATTTATTTGGGGGAGGAGCCTCCCTTATTTTTCTTACTCCGATTGGCTTGTTAGACTTTCTGCCAAGACCGGCACTGGCTCCACCCACGTGGTGCTCCAGGTGAGCTCGGAGTGAAAGGTTGATGTTTCAGATGGAGTTATTTTTGCATCACGTTTGCTTTGCCACAGTGGATTTTGATTTCGTTGGTATATTTTTGATGCTTATTTTTCTACGCTGTAGAGTGAACACAGACGAGAGGACGAATAAAATGTTTAAAGGAAAAAGTCTCACTGGTTTATTGTCTCATTCAGGGTTTATTTAAATATTTTCTGCTGTGTTTTTACATCATGAAACTCGTGACTTTACATTCAAATATTTTCTTCATGTAAAATAAAGTAAAAATTAAAAATTGCCTCAAGTTTAAAATAACAAAAACATTTCCCACTTTATGTCCACTCTGATTGGTCAGTAATTGAGCATTTTTAAGCTTGTATGAGCTCTCTGCTATAAGCCCCACCCATCACACGGGCGTGGCTTTCACTCAAGTCCGTCCAGACTTTCAGCGTCACGGCGTTGCACAGAGCTGAGGGTTTTCAGGAGACGTCGATTCTGTAGTTTTGACAGCAGAAGAAGAAAATCCTTTTTTTTGTCACATGTATGAAACCAGAGCTTTCCTGCTGAGCTTCTGCTTTTAAAAGCCTTTAAATAACCAAAACCTGCAACTGAATGTTAGAAACACGAGGCTGAGCTGTGCTCTCTGTTTTAGTCTAATGATTCAAAACACGAGCAAAGACTCATCGGGTCAAACCGTCCTTCAACTCCCAGAATCAACGCTGACAGGATACACGGGGCTGACAGTGTTGACAATTTAAAAAAATAATAATAATAAAAACATAAACTTCACGTCCATGAAAACGAGGAGTTACTCTCCATATGAAGATCACACAGACGTCCGCCTTTTTTTCAGTAGAACCAAAAATGTAGTTTGGAGGCTTACTGCCACTTTATTAGGTACACCTAGAGCTGCTTTAATCCTTCACGACAGACATGACAAGGTCCTCATCCATGGTGACACGACATCATCACGACATCATCACTCAGCTGCTGCATCTGTGATGACACCTTCCCGCTCCTCCACATCTCAAAGCTGCTCTGTTAAACTGAGATCTGTGACTGTGGAGCCGCCTGAGTGAACTCGCTTTGTGACATCAGAGGACGGGCGTGGCCCTGATCACAGCAGCAGCAGCAGGCTGAGGTCTGACGCAGGCAGGATGGATTAACTCTGACCATCTGACACTCACAGAGCAGGAAACGTTTCTCCATCCTCTGCTGTCCAGGTTTCTGTGTGAGCTGTAGCCTCAGCTTCCTGTTCTTAACACAGGTCTGCTCTTCTGCTGCTGCTGCACATTCACAGATGCTCTTCTGCAGAGCCCGGCTGTAACGAGTGACTTCCCGTTTCTTTCCTATCAGCTTGAAGCAGTCTGTGTATCGTCCTCTGACCTCAGCGAGTCATTTCCTCCCTGAGAGCTGCTCACTGGATGTTTCCTCTATGAGCTCTGTGTGAAACACTCAGACCAACTTTGAGTCTCTTACTCCTCCTTTCTCAGTCTGAACTGCTCGTCTGCATGCTTAAATGCTTTGAGCTGCTGCTCTGTGATTGGCTGATTAGATATTTACAGGAAGATGCACCTAATAAAGTGGCAGTGAGTGCATACTGTAGGTTTGAGAGGTTTAGATTTTTTCTTTTGCTTATTTCTAGCATATTCTTTTCCTCAGTGTTTTGCTGGAACCAAACTGGCCGTCACGCTAAATATGACATTAAAAAAAACAGAATTCTTCTTCTGAGCTGAAATCACAACATCGGATTATTTCACTCCTCCTGGTCCTCTAAGCTGCCTTCATCCGTCCATTCATCCAACCAGTTCCTTCAGCTGTCAGCTGATTGGTCCACAGCGCTCTCAGGTGGTAGGGTAGAGCAGCAGACATGCGAACATGTTGTCCTCTGACTCCGCCCAGTCTCCTCCCCTCAGTTCCAGCCTCACCTCCTGCCCCTCCCTCAGCAGCAGGAGGCTGACCCCGGTAGCCGGCCCCTCCTTACTTACTTCCTGCCTCTGCAGAGGCACCCACGCTCCGCCCTTCTCCTCCTCCTCCCCCATGCTCCTTAGGACCACATGGGCGGGGCCTGGTCTCAGGTGCAAGGTGAGGACAAACAGGTAGATCCCATCCACTGGAACCGTGAAGGTACTGCCAGAGTAAAACTGACCCTGGGTCAAAGACGGCTCAAAAACAACAACGCCAGAGACGCTCTGAAGAGACCGAGCAACGAACAGCGGGGCGCGTTCTGATAGGCTGGCGGGGACGGGTTCACCTGGAGAGAAGAGGAGGGGACAATGGAAGAAGATGTAAAGAAAAAAACCAACAAACAAACAACTATTATCAATAAAACATTAAGACACTGTTGGGCAGCAGTGTGTTACCTGAAACCTCACCTGGTGACTCCCTCCTGCTGCGCCGCTTTCCTCCCCTCTCTGACTCCTCCCTCCATCCTCCTTGCTTCTTCTTCTCTTTCTTCTTCAGCAGCTGCCACAGCTTATCCAGCTCCAGCGTGGCGTTGGATCTCGCCAGCACGTCGGCGTTGCTGAAGACGTTCTTGAACACCCCCAGGTGTTGCTCCAGTCCCTTTTTCAGCCAAGTCACCTCATTCATCACCGTGGCAGCCACACGTGAGGCGTTGGGGCAGGAGCACGTTTTCTCCCCCAGCTGGGATAGCCTGCGCTCCACCTCCTCCACCTTCCTCTCCAGGTTCCATAGGTCACCGCCATCCCCGGGATGGAAGAGCATCTGCTGCTCCCTAGCAGGAAGTCCGTCGCCGCCGCCCCTCCTTGGGTCACCGGGCAACCAGGAGGGAGGCTGGTCTGCAGATGGCACCTCCTCTCTGCCTCCTGAGAACAGACGAGTCAAAAATGAGTTGAAGCAAAAACAGGAAGCAGCTTCTTAAAAGTACATTTTATCTAACATCCAGCAGGGGGCAACCCTGACAGAATAGCTCATTCAAAATAAAAGCATCAGCTGCCTGCAGCTGTCCCTTCACAGTAAAGGCGTACCCGTCTGGCCCTGCTTCAGCATGATGATCGTATGCTCGTGTTCTCTCAGCTGCTCCTGCAGGTGCCTCAGGTCCTCCTTCAGAGCCTGGACGGAGATGAAGTCAGCCTCCTCCTCCTCCTCGTCCTCGTGGTCCGGCCTCTCCTTCTCCCTCAGGCTGATCATCTTCAAGAAGTCGATCACCTCGTCTCCCAGCAACATCTTCAGTACCCTGCTGTGTCGGCTGGCGTCTTGGAGGAGGATGTTGAAGGTGGTGTCCAGCACCTTTATCTTGGCGTCCTGCTGTCTGTCTGCGTGCTTCAGGCCGGAGACTGAGGCATTCAGGTGGGTCAGGCCGAGGTCCAGAGTCCTGATCCTGCTCTGCTCCTGCAGGAGGAGGATGGAGAGGAAACAGAAAGCAGCCTGTTTAGAAACGCTGTGTGGACCTGTCTCCGGATCGTTATCAGCTGAAAGTCGTGTCTGCTCTTATTTACAGTTTCATTGCTCGTACCCTGTGGAGGCCAAGTTGGAGCGCCTTTACCGCCGGCTCCCAGTCGCTGCTCGTACCCCAATGCCCTCCCCTGCTGTTGTCGTCCAGAGCTAATCTGTTCTCATTGGCCAGCTCGGTCACGTTGGCCAAGTCCCTCTGCAAGATAGCCACGGTCGCCTGCAGGCTCTCACAGTTGCATTCGATGCGCGAGTTGTTCTTGCAGGCGTTCGGGATCGTCCACAGGCAGTCCATGTCCTCCTCAACATCGTCCAGTCGTTTAACCTGCTGGCTCAGCTTCCCCGCCAGCTCGTTTACACGATTCAGCACCTTCACTTTGGCGTCCTCCACCTCCAGCCCCGTCTCCATGAACAGCACCTGGGTGCGCCGCGCCGTATCGTTGATCTGCTTTTCCAGCTCCTTAACGTGCCGACTCAGCTGCTGGACGGCGCGCGATGTCACCACCGCATCCTCCATCAGTGTGGTCACCTGCACGGGACACATTTCAGTTTCCTGTTTCAGTCCTGATTTTACTGTCAGAAAGCACACTCGTGCTGAACGTCAAGAACAAAGTCCTCATGTGTGCAGGCTCACCTTCACCGTGTTGTTGACCACTGTGTTGTCCAGCTGGTCGATGGCGTCCCACAGCTCTGAGGCGTCCGTGGGAGGCGGCAGCTGGTGTGGAGGGTTGGTGGGCGGATGGAGGTCGTCCTGATCCTGCTCATCCTCAGCCATCTGCCACTGGTCCAACTTCAGCTCTGTCAGCGTGGCGTTCATGGCCTGCAGGCTGACCTGAGATCAGCAACAGGAGTTATGAATAAATGTGTTTCATTGGCAACATATGAACAGACTGTACTTAAAAATGAGAGCTGCCCTGACTCTGGCTTCCTCTAACAGCCTGAGGGTCCCGCCAACACCAGCTAATGTTAGATTATAATGACCTATGTCACCGATCGGACCAACCACACAATGACAGGGAGGAAACATCAGCAATGATCTCAGGGAGGCGACTGCAGCTGTGCATCAACCTCAGGAGAAAGATCACTCAGACACCTGACAGTCTTCTTTGAAGTCAGGCCGTGCAAAACCCAAGAGCTCATACTCAACTGGCCTCAACTAGCATGTGAAAAGCTTGGAAAGGTTGCAGGAGAAAGCCTCTTCTCTCTAAGAAACATGGCAGCAGAGCTTTGGTTAGCAAAGCTGCATCAGAATGAAGCGCGAGCGCTCTGAAACCTCATTTCCTAACAGTTCGTGGAAACATTTGTATCCTGCACAAAAAACATGCGATTCCTGCAACATGCACACCAGCCTGTGCAATCTGCATAAGCCCGCCTCCATTTCCTCTATATAACACATTTTCCTCCAGGTGAAGCAAAGACAGCAGTGATGATGTAAAAGACAAGCTTGCATCTCTAAGGCAGGAAAACAACGAGCTTGTTCGTTGTGTCCAAGAGGAATCAAGAAAAGGCACAACCGTCCAGACTGCATCCATCACAGGAACGATGGTTCAAGAACAAAAAAATAAAATAATGGAGGCACCGCATGTCATCTCCTCTGACACTGTGGCTCAGTCGAAAAAGAAAGTTTGGACAAAAGTAAGAAAGAAAAGAAGAAGAAAACAGCTGGAGATGACAAACTCCAGATTCTCCAGCATCCAGGGACAGTGCCAAAATATTAGGCCGTCAGTGATGACACCCAGGAATAACAGAAGTCATT